TTATGATATTCTTATACATCATGTAATATGCTTTGATCAAATTCACCACCCTTATTACTTTCTCATCACCTCTCTCCCTTTAAACAATTTTAACAGTTTTCATTATTCTATTTTCATACAGGTGTATAAAGTACTTTGTTCATATTCGATCCTCCTTTGCTATCTCCTTCTACCCTTTTCCTTTCTTGCTTATTCTCCCCTGTCCCCCAAACAGTTCCCATTTTACTCGCCTTTCTTTTTTTTTTTAAGTCTAGATTCCACATATGACTGAGAACTTGCAATATTTGTCTTTCTTGGTCTGGCTTATTTTACTTAACATGGTGATTTCTAGATTCCTCCATTTTCCTGCAAATGGCATAATTTCATGCCTGAATATACATACATATCACATTTTCTTTGTCCATTCATTGGTTGATGGATACCTAGACTAATTCTACAGTTTGGTTATTGTGAATAGTGCTGATAAAAACATGGGTGTGCAGATGTCTGTTTAGCAGAACCACATGGTGGTTCTATCTTTAGTTTTTAAATGAACTACCATACTGATTTTCCTAGTAGCCAAAATAATTTACATTTTGCCAACAGTGTAGAAGGGTCCCTGTCCTCCTTTGTCTTTGCCAGTATTTGTTTTTTGTTTTCTTGATGGTAACCATTCTAATGGGTGAGATAGAATCCTTTATGACTAAGGATATTGAACATTTCTTCATGTATTTATTAGCCATCTGTGCTTTATCTTTACAGAACTACTCATTTACCCATTTACTAACTAGATTGTCCTTTTGGCACTTAATTTTTGAGCTCTTTATATAGTCTAGATATCAGTCCTTTGTCTGATGAAGAGATTGCAAAGGTTCTTCTAATAAGACTAGATTTTGCTGTGTAGTCCAGACTGGCCCAAACTCACTATCCTCCTGCCTCATCCTCCTGAATGCAGGGATTACATGGGTGACCTACCATGCCCAGCTCTATTTTTTAATTTTCTTCATGAACCTCATACTATTTTCCATAATGGCTACATTAATGTTAATTTCCACTAACAGTGTAACAGGAGTTCCTTTAATTTATGTTCTTGTCTTTGTTTTTTCTATTCAAGATGACTTCAGATATTTGGCAGTTCTTCTTTGTGTGTGTGTGTGTGTGTGTGTGTGTGTGTGTGTGTGTGTGTGTGTATTTCTGCATAAATATTTGGATTATTCTAATTCTGAGAAGAATGTCATTGGAATTTTGATAGAGATTGCTTTGGACAGTATGACATTTTGATAAACATTGATTTTGTAAATCATGAGCGTGTGATTTCTCTCCTTTTTGTGTGTGTCTTCTCCAGTTTCTTTTGTCAGTGTTGTATAGTTTTCTTTTTCAGGAATGGAACCCATGGCCTTGCACATGCCAGGCAAATGCTCCAGCGTTGAGCTATACCCCCAGCCTGCAGTTCTCATTATAGAGCCTTTCCCCTTCTTTAGCTAATTTATTCCTACGTGGTTTTTATAGAATTGCTTTCTTTCTGCTTCAGGTAATTTTTTATGGTTGTATAAAACAGAGTGATTTCTTGTGGAAATACTGTGTCTTTCATTAAGGCTATAGTTAGGCTGGGTATGGAGCCTACTGGTAGAGTGCTTGTGTAGCATGAGCAGAACTCTGGGTTTGATCCCCAATACCACCCCACACACAAAAAAGTGGGGTTTATAAACTGTGTGCCAAACCCAATAATATATAAGGCAGACACTGCCCCTTAAGCATAAATGTGAACATAAATTCTTCACAATGCACTTTATTTTCTCCAACGTTCTGGGTTCTGCACAGACACTATATTATAAACTGTAAGAGTGGAAGAATACAAACTTTGGGTATTTAGGTGTTTGTTTAAGACTATAGTAGCAGGCTGAGAAGGGTAGGTCTCAAGTCCCTTTCATGCTATCCTGAGTTTGTCCTGTATTCTAGAGAGAAAGTGACTTCTTGTTAGGCATGATTAACTAAACCACAATGTTTGGAATTTCTCAGTGAATCACTTCATTTTTTTCTATACCACTGTTTGTTTGTTTGTTTGTTTTGCTGTTTTTTTTTTCTGTACTGGGGGTGGGGAGTGGGGTGGATGAACCTAGGCCTGGCCCCATACTGGCAAGCACTTTATTGCTAAGTCACATTCCTAGCCCTACTGATCTTACCTTAGTTTTTACTTCACCTCAATTGGAAAGTCCACCAGTAATCTCAGCACTCTAGAGGCTAAGGCCGGAAGATTTAGAGTTTAAGGGTAGTATAGGCTACACAACCTTCAAAAGAAAAGAAAAAAAAAGTTTTCCTACAGGGAAATAATTTTTATTTTCCCACTGCTTTGTCTTACATATACACTACTGTAGAGATTCCTTACTTCTGTTCACATAATGGTATCTTTACACCCCTTCCCATTCCTATTACCATTCATGCCTTGAGAATTCCTTTTCTCCTAGTCTTATCTAACTAGGTCACATCCCATGTGGTGCAGGAGCCCATTTCTAAATAATTATTCCCACATGTACTTATCTTTAGTTTAGCACTTAATCATTCCAGTTTCATGCATGTTGGACTGTAAGCTTTGTGATAAAAGGGAACACTGTTCCTCACAGCCTGTTATCTTAGGCTAAGACACTCATCAAATACTTGTTTACTAGCTGAGAAATGTGTATTGTGTACACAGTTCATGAATTTTATTAGCTTGTGACACATTTAATGTTGGTATCTCATCTCAAGTACAAATTAATATTAACATGGCTGTCTAATAGTGACTCTTACAACTCATTTTAACCGCATTGGCCTTAATGGTATAATAAGTCACTCTGAATGACTTTACTAAAATAGGTTTTTATTCCTCCATAAATATATTGTAATGTGAGTCTCCATTTTTTTTTCTATAAGGTTCTGTGTTGTGTATGTGTAATTCTTTTGTCTAATGTATTAAACAGTCTAAAGCATTTTGTGCACATTGTAAATGCTGTCTGTTGTCATTTCCACAATAGGTGTAAATGTGTTCTGAATTGGAAACTGGTTTTATAGGGAAATAATGATTTATTTGCCTAAATTTCTTATGGGTCCCCTTATTTTGCAAAAGAGACATTTATCAAAGCTTAACTTGTTAATTCCATATAGTAATGTAAAAAGATAAATGTGTGTTCAAGATAGAAGTGGCATTTGATTAAACATCATATGCTGTCTATATAAATGTGTTACCTTAGTTCAAATTAGTAAAATAAAAATATGTGTATTTATTTGGTTAGTACCATATCTATTGTTACAATGTAAATAGGGTAGATAATTTTTTATCAAAAGTCAAGAGCAGTTATTTGTCAATAAGATGTTTTGTGTGTGAAAGTGTTAACTACATTATAAATACTGAACTTATTTTGTAACATAGAAAATGAGGTAAGTTTCATAAAGTTTTTCTGTATCTCTATGAATTTATAAAACTCACTAGAGAATAGAGACTTCAAGAAAATTTGGCCTAGGGGAATGGCTCAAGTGATATAGGGCCTGCCTAGCAAACATGAGTCCCTGAATTCAAACCATCAAAAAAAAGAACGAAAAAGTGGTATTGGTGAAAGGACAGAGATCACTGGCATCCACACATAGGCTCACACATAAATGGTCAGTTGATTTTGGCAAAGGTGGGAGGACAAGTAGAGTACTAATTATGATTGTTTTAACAAATGATGATAGAATAATTGGACATCTATATTACAAATAATGAGCAGAACCAATCTCAGTCTTCTGAGATTGATTTTACTTCATCTATAAAAATTCACTAGAAGTAATGAACATTTGTTCTTGCCTTCACTATTCAGAATTGTACTGGAGTTCCAACAATTATGTGATAAAATAAATAGAAATCATCCATGCCGAGAAGGAAGAAACAAAGCTATTTCTTCCTTGAGGATGACATAGTCTTTTATTGGGAAAATCCTGTGGATTCCACAAGAAATTAGTGAAGCTAACAAATGAGTTCAGCAAGTTGTAAGACTTAATATGTATGTACAAGAAGTATCTGTATGTCTACACCCTAGAAGTAAGAAATTTAAAACAGCATTGAAGTAAATGGCAGAATACCTAAATAAATGGAAAGACATCCCAAATTCTTGGATTGGGAAGACTTGATATTGTTAGGCTTTCAGTAGTCATCCCTTGATATACTCAGATGATTGGTTTCAAGACCCCAGTACTTGCCAGACTTCTTAGTGCTCAAGTCTCTTATATAAGGTTGTCTTGTAGTTGCATATGGTCTATGCATATCTTTTTATATACTTTAAATCACCTCTAGATCACTTACATTTCTTAATACAATGTAAATAATTGTCATACTTTATTGTTTATGAAATAAGGACAAAAAATAAAAAGGCTGTTGATGTTCAGTATAGATGCAACCATCACAGACCTAATTGCATTGGTTATAAGCAAGTTACATATCTAATAATGTTTAAGCACTACTGGAGAGAAACTCAGGATCTATAAAATTGTGGCAGTCTAGTCTGGATATATGTATGCATCATCTCATTCACAAGAACTCAGGGTAGTGCTCAATGTGTGGATAATTCAAGTTTTGTTTTTTGAACTTTCTGGAACCCTTCCCCCCAGTTTTTACTTGCATTTACTGAGTCCATGGATTGTGGGTCTATGGATTGGGAAATCTGCCTGTTCAGCCTAAATTGCTCTATAGATTGAACACAATCAAGAGCCCCAAATAGATTCTTCTTCAGAAATTGACAGTATATAGGCGAAAGCAATTTTTTTGGATGCAATGACCCATCTAAGGTGGGCAACAAAACACACTGTCTTTCTTTAGAAACATAAGGAATTCACCCCCTCAAGTCACACTTGTTACCAGGCTACTTTTGGTTTCTTCCAGTATACATAACTTTCTCTTGGGATAATTCTGCCTCTGATTCCTTTCTTAAATTATTACCGGATTCAATAAAAACCTTACGAGGTAGAGAAGCTTTCATTGCTGATGCTTTTCTTTGTTTTTCTTTTTGTAGGGAAATTGAACAGCCAAGACTCTTACAACAATTTTACTAATAACAATCCTGGCAACCCCCGGCTCTCTCCTCTCCCCAGCCTGATGGTAGTGATGCCTCTTGCACAGATCAAGCAGCCAATGACATTGGGTACCATCACCAAACGAACGGGGTAAGGCCTCAGGCTTGATGCTTTTTTTCCCAGCTGTTTTAGAGGATCGAATGACTAAAATTGAAACATTTTTACCTTGTATGGTTTTGATTATGTTCATTTCCAGCCAATATGAGACTTAATGGCAGCCGATCAAGTACAAAGCATAGAACGTACATAAACATACTCACACACAGCCTTCTACACACACGTTCTTAGAAAAAAGAAAGCAGTGACAAGTTGTGAAAACCAGTATTGGCTAATAAGAATCAGATCCATCTATTCAGTCATATACTTACTTGCTGCTTCATGGTGCTGCCTGATATTATAGTTTGATTTTCTTGACTCTTCCTGACATGATTGGGATTTATCATGACTACGAAATTTTGACAGGCACAAGTAATAAGGAGAGTATATTATATGATATCCATGTTCCTAATAACTTTGTGAAACTCATCTATATTGAGGTTTTCATTGTTATATCTATATTTGCATGTTTATATTACTAATCTGTCATTAGTATCTTGAAAATACAATAAGTAGTTACCAAAGCCAGTGTTACAGGATTAGTGGCTTTTTCAAGATGAGCCCTTAACATCCTTAAAGACTTTTGATAACTCACTTCATTTTTTTTTTTTTTTTGCATTCACCATCCTGTTTTATTTTATGTCCAAAGCCCTGTAGCAGGGCCTTGTCCTGCTATGTTTCATGAACTTGTACCTGTGACACTGCAAATTACATTTACTTCACTCACAGTAGCACTTGAGTCCCACAACAAACCTGTGAGGTAGATGTCACCATCCTTCCTGCCCCTGCTGACCCATACCACAGATGCAGAAGATGAGGCACACATTAAACAAAGAGAAAGTCACACGGATAATTCAGACTCAAGCTGGAGTTTGAACAAAATAACTCACTTCATTTCTTTGTGCTCCTTTTCACTATTTAAAAAGTTTTCTGGGCCAGGTGCAGTGTCTTATGCCTTTAATCCTAGCTACTAAAGAGGCAGAGATCAGGAGGATCATGGTTTGAGGCCAGTCTGGGCAAACCCAGCCCATCTCAACTAAGAAGCAGGTGTGGTTGTGTGTGCCTGTCTTCCCAGCTACACAGGAGGCTGTAGGTAGGAGGATTGTGATCCAGCTTGGCCCAGGCAAAAACCTGTGAGACCCTCAAGTGGTAGAGCACCTGCCTAGCAAGTGCAGGCCCTAAATTCCTATTCCAAAAACTTTTCTACCTATTAGGGATATAAAATAAAAAAATAAACCACTGAAAATAAACTACTATGTCTATTTCATATATTTAATTACATAATAACACTGAAGATGCATTTTATATGATAAAATATACCTGTCGTCAAATTACTTGTTTTCCTTAATAAGCAATCCTAACAGTTAACCTGATTTAAAATAGAACAAATTATATATTAAAAATTATATATTAAAATAGCCAATACAAGGCCCTGTCTTGGCTTCAAATAACCCATAGTACCTGTCTAATGATAGTAATGATTAAATTATTTGGTTTCTCTGTTAATATTTTTTAATATTGTACTACTGGTAAAGTATTTATAGAAACCAGTTTTGTGAGAAACAAATACTCTGTTCTCACAGGTAAGTCCTCTGGGCCCTAGGTATCGTTATAGCATAGAAATTGACCCTCAACCTAGGTAGAGTGGTGTTTGTATATAAGGTGATCCAATGGTTGTCTACAGAATGAGTTTCTGACATGTTAAGGGAAGCAAAAGGAAAAATGCAGCAGACCTTTCAGTATAACTCTGTGTTCAGTTGAAGTTTAATTTTAAGTAAGAATTCCACTTTTCTTCTGTTAATTTTAAAAAAAGTTTATTGATAGTGGCTATGAATTATGAAAGGGTTACATCTTTATATTTATAATTAGCTTATTTTTTCCTTTTATGACTGTGTTTCCTGGATGTAGAATCAAATAAACATGGCACTAAATTGGGAAATAGAAGTTTAAATTCTATTTTCACTTGCTGAAGTTAGTCAGTAAGTACATAATTATGTCTTCTTTATTCACCCCTGAATTTACATTACACTTCTACAAAGTTCTTACAAGTTTTTGTCTTTCCCTTCCTGATTCTAAGTGAAATTATGTTTTCAAAATTGTTTCTTTGTGATATAATTTTACATCGACGGTGAGGGGAGCATGTGATTTATGGTTCAGAAGTTTCCTGGAGACAAGAAAGTGTACTCTGGTGTGTGTTGATTTTTTGCTGTTTTTAACATAAGTGCTAGGCTGTCTTATAAGATAAAAAGTTAGCCCTCTTTCTCTAATACTTTTCTGAAAATAGCTCTGACATTCTAACAGAAGCATTATACATAAAGTGACATGTTAGAATTTAATTTAAAATATTCATGCATTGTGTTTCGAAGTTCATTTACTTTTGTTTTTATTTGAGATTTCCTATAGTCAGAAGGTGAAGTTCTCTCTTGCTCTCTGTCCTGCCACCCTTTTTCTTTCTGAACTGAGATGCACAAAAGTTATTAGTCATCTCTTATCTTCCTGTGTTACCGTAACTTATGAATTTAGATAAATTCTCGACATTTCCTTTTCTTTTTAAAAACTTCCTCAGTTCTCAGATTTGTGGAGCATGTATAGTACACTCCCTCATGATGTACAATTTTACAGTTATTAATGACTAATTTTTAAATTTCTTTTAGAATATGCCATGTTCAAGTTCTTGGAGAGAGTAACTTGTACTTATCTCAAATGAGTACTTCGTATGGTTTTTTTTTACAAAGTTCAGAATTACAAAAGCATCACAAGAGTAGTAAAAAGAATTCCTTTATACCCAAATTTCCCAAATGTTAACAGTTTAATTTATTTGCTTTTTCATTCACATTTTCTTACTCTTGCGTGTACACTAACGTACCATACTAATTTTTTCAGAGTGAGTTCCAGACTTAACATCCACTTATTCCTGCATTGTTAATGCAGGAATCTGAAGGCAAGAATGTTCTCTTATATAACTATATTAGAAATAAGAAATAAGAAGAGATCTTAAAATAAAAATTTTATTCATTGTTCTTTACTTGTGACATTTAAATTTTACCATTGCTAGATTTTATATCTTAATACACTTAATCCACTTTATTCTTTCTTTTCTTTTTCATCTCTTTCTATATATAACACTGGCCAGCCTGGAACTTGCTATGTAGTACAGTGTTCCCTCAACTTGTGATCCTCCTCCCTCAGCCTCCTGTGTACTAGGATAATAGACATGTGCCTAGATTTTAAGCCACTCTCTGAAGTGTTTGTTGATTGTTGATTGTATTCAGAACTTGCTATTGTGATTTTTTTCTTTTTATTCTTTTATTATAGGCCACCAAAACAACGCCTTATAGTTTTCAGAATATAATTTTGGGTTTTATTGTTTTAAATTTAATGGGTTTTTTTTCATTAAAATGCATGTATTTTCCCTTGTCAAGATTAACATTTGGCTTATGAGAAGAAAATATATTTTCTCAGTTTCCAGTTTTCCATATGCTGTTTTGAAGCAAATACCAGATAACATTTCACCCCTTTAGATCTCATGTAGTTAAAATTTCAGAATTATATTTATTTTATTAGAACATTAAAAAAAAAACTATGACCCATTCTCAACAACATAGCTAACTATTTTCTTTTATTTCTGGTATATTTTGTTTTATCTACTGAGACAGTTGATCTCCTCATTAGAGTACAAATGTGATGAGCTGGTCTCTTCCTTTTGGAAATTTGTTTTATTCCTATTAGGTTTTATGAAACTCCTAGTTTTGAGCAAGGAGAGTATTTCACATGGATAATGTAGAAAAAGGATACAAAGCTCAAACATTTCAAACATGTAAGTTGTGTGTTAGCCTCCAATATACCTGACAATGTATCTAATAAGTGATTGACTTAGATCACCTTTATTTTGCATAAAGGCAAATATGACCTTTGCAGATGTTATATTCCTATTGCAAGATTTCTAATAATTGTTTGTGATTCAATACTTAAACATCTAAATTGGGACAGAAATCTTAACCCTTCAGGGGACAAAAATATGTGCTTGCCACTTTAAACATCTGCCTTCTTATTTTTGCAAATACATATCTCTGAAACCCAGTGTAGTGTCAGGGACCATCTGTCTCACTTCAGGATATACATGAAGTCTGTAAAACTGTAAATGGCAATAGACAGATGTATTTACACCTTCTTGTTCCATTCCTCAAAGCATCTCTTGGAGGAAAGAAGGTGTCTGTTGGCAACAGCTGCTGCTTACCTCTGACTGCTTACCTCTTACCTCTATGGATAAAGGCAAAGGAAGTGCTTAGAATTTATCTGACTTCACCATTCACTCATTAAAGCAGAATCCACTTTCCGTTAGTCTTAAGAGTGGAGGGTTGGAAAGCCAGTTTACTGCATCATGTTTTTACCATATGCACATGAAGTAAAGTTCTCCTCATCTCTGTAAAGTGAGACTTGGTAATGAGGGATCACTTCCTGTTCTGGACATCAGGTTTTTCTTCTGGGATTTTATTAACTGTATTTCACAGATATTTGCTTCAATTAATGAATTAAATGAGATTAAATTTTTTAGTGTTTTCTCTATATGTACAAAACAAAATTTTTCCTTTGTACTTAATTGTATCTATTTTAACCCTAAAATTTTATATACCTCCTTTGTGGGAACAAGAATAGAACAATAAATGTCAGATAGAGGTCAAGCTACTTTCATGGGAATAAGAAATAAAATCTTGAGAAGTTACTTTCTTGCTTTTAACTAGTTGAACATTTTGGGAAGTAAACATCACATGACTTTTCCTTTTCTTCAAATGGAAGTAGCTTCCCACTTCTTCTCTCCCGCCTTCATATTTACTCATTTCTTTGTGAGTAAGTAGGGGTAGGTATTAGAAACCTTGGGCTGCACCCTGCAGAAGTAGAATGGATGGTGGCACTTCTCATGTTAGTTCTGCCACCTGTTATCAGTGTGTCCTAGGCATGTTTCCTCATCTGAATTATATCCATATGCTTGTACATACACATACATATGAACATTATATATGTGTTATAATAATTTTCCTTACCAGTGCTTCATTTCATTTCTAAGCATTACTCCCTGTTGAGCTGCCCTAAGATCATGCTAAACTCAAACCCTGTTTAGAAAAGGTACATGGACTGGAGGTGTGGCTCAAGTGGTAGAGTGCCCACTTTGTGAGCGCCTGCCTTGCAAGTGTGAAGCCCTGAGTTTAAACACAAGTCCCATAAATAGCTAGAAAATGAAGATAGTTGTTTTTCTGTACAAATGGAAGATATAAATAGTATTTATTTGAACAACTCTGTCAAATAGGTCTTATTTCATGAGTAAGTGACCTTGACATATAGTAGACTTTAATAAGGTCCCTTCTTTTTTTTTTTTATACACTTCCTTTATTGTTGTGTTGGGTAGGGGTACATTGTGGCATTTACAAACATTCTTACAATGTATCAACTATATCATACTTGAATTTACCTGCTCCACGCATCACTTTACATCCCCCCCTTGATTCATGGAATAGTTACAACAGGTATAATTGCGTTTACATGCATGTGTATACATTTTTTGCACTGTATTCACCCTCCTACCCTCTTCCCCTGCCACCTCCCACTGGTACCAACTGTCTCCCCTGGGCAGATTCTTGACTTACTTAGATTGTTTTATCCGAGCTCTAAACCTTAGACAAAGATATGTGAGTTAAATGAGAAAGATTTGGAGAAAGACCTACCGGATATGATAGCAGATGGTAATTCACCACCTTCTGTCATGGTCTTATGTTACTATTAGTTATTGCTAAGCTCTAGGAATGTTTAGTTCCTGATATAAAAAATAATTAAGAATATATTTTCATTTGATTGTATATGTGTCTACATGTGTATTATATTTGCCATAGTTTTGAGTTTCCACTTTTTGTGCTAAATAAATAGGATACTTAAACCAAACCATAGTTTATTGCATTTTACTGTGAATCTGAGGATTTTTTTTTTGATGAAGCCTCCTATGTACCATGTAATAAGTTAGCAGGCATAGCATTCTACAGAAGTTTGGCATTATTTATGCTATGCTAGTCTCTGTTCTGTCACATATGGCAGAAGTTGAGCATTACCTATGTTTTTCTAATGAAAATCCTTTATATCTTGAGTTTGTAATTTAAATTGGCATGTCAGTTATGTCTCAAATTAGACAACTGCTGTTTCAGCTTCAATTTTCCCTACACATGAGTAGGTTGAGAACCAACAAAGCTATAGATGTCTCTGGTAGGAAGTAATTCAAACTAATGAAAAAATTAAAAGTAAAACATGAAAATGACAGGAGGGATGATTTCCTCCTATGGAGGGTGAGAAATGAGAGTTCATTTAAATTGATGCGGAGGGCTGGTGGAATGGCTCAAGTGGTACAGCACCTGCCTTCAAGCTCACATCCCTGAGTTCAAATCCCAGTACTGCCAAGAGAAAAAATAATCATTCTTCATCTAAGTTTCTGCTGAAGAGAAGGCATAATGTTGAAGGCAGTAGAAGTCCCAGATTTTGTTTTTAGAAAAATACAGCTTCACTTCCATATTCTATATATAATTTTGTATAATTTTTTTCTGTGTTCAGTACATTTTTCACTTCTCTGAGCTCATTCTGATACCTGCTTTGTGGTAGTTCCTGCTCATAGAACACAATCAAACTGGAAGATGGGATGTAGAGAGTGTTTATAGAATTCTTGGACTCCAGATGCTTTCTTTACTCTAAAGCTGACTGAACTATCATTATTAACCTTTTAGCCCTAGAGTCAGGTTATAGAGAGTTTATTCACATCCTATCTGATTTTACTTTTTTACTTATACTTTAGAAAATCTTTGAGTGTGCTTTTTTTTCTTCTCTGCTAGTAGAACCAAAGGCTTTGGTGTTATGTGGCATTGAACAATATGATTGAGAGTTTATTTATTTTATTTTATGTATTTATTTATTTTTTTATTTTTTTGGTGATACTAGCGTTTGAACTCAGGGCCTCACACTTGCTAGGCAGGCACACTACCACTGAGCCACTCCACCAGCCCTTGATTGAGATTTTAATGACTTACATAACATTAATTGTGTATTATCAAACATTTTCCTTTCTTTTGTTCTGAGAGACTCCAGAATTCCTTTGAGAACTAATGGCTAGGTCATTGCATGGTGGTCTATAAATAATTCTCTACTAAATGTTTCTTGAATTTTAGTCACTTCTAGTTTTTCCCAAGGTTTTTCAATTGGAATGAGTTCAAAAGGGACATAATATATAATGAATAGGTTTTATATATCAGGATTGTTAAGCCTGCTGAAACTTAACAGTGATTAGAAAGCACAAATTCAGATCCAAATATTATGATTTGAGTTTCAAATGTTAATACAGACAGTCTTTAATTCAACATACACTCCTCCTCACATACTTCTCCCATCTCCATTCTTCTCCCATGCAAAAGTACAGCTGTGACTTTTTGGAGATGATGAGGAGAGTCAAAGGTGAAGACAGCTGGATCATGGGCTTCTGCTTTGTGACTTCATATTTTCATTCTTTTGCTACTGAGGAAAGATTAAGCATACTGATTTCAAAAGAGCAGCTGACATTACCCTTGCAAAGTCAGTAGTTACGTCAGTCACTTTAATTCTTTGGAGCTTGTAGATCTTCTTTCACTTGTATGTGGCAGAGGTCCAATTTGTAGGATGAGGCAAGAAATGGGTAAATATAGGTTGGATGCATGCCAAGTCTACATACTAAACCAGGTTCTCACCTTGTCACCACAGCCCTCTTTTTTCTTGGACTATTAGCCAGTTGATCCTTATTTGATTTAAGTAGAATATTTGTAACCAATGCAATGGTGGGCTATGTTGTGAATGGTGACCCACCCTTATTATCTGCAGGACTGCTATTATTTTCTGCAGGCCTGTTTGCTACCATGTCTGGAGATTTATAGTACATTTTAGAATTGTGGGGAAAGGAAATGACTGGAGAAATCTTGTTGGTAACATCTTTTACTGTTGGAAAAGGAAAATATGGGAATTTTTTAAAAATTTTAACTATTCGGATGACATATCTTTCCATTTTTTAAATCAACAAACTTAAACCTAGGAAAAGCTATTTACTGCTACTGTAGGTGGAAAACAGCAGGTTGTCTTTTGAAATATAGAAGCTTAAAGGTTTTGTTTGATTGATTTTTGGTATGAATCTTTAGGCTATCAAGGACTAAGTATTCTTTATAATAAATCAGCTGTGTTCTGATGCTTAAAATCAGTTGGGAGATTATTCAGAGTTGATAAAGGTCAGCATAGGTTTGTTTTTTTCCAATTGCAGGCATTTCTGCCAGAATCACTTTGACTGTTTGATTATTTCAGGGGTTTTGCCCGATGAAGTAAAAAGGGGTTGGGTACCATGGCGCCAGCAAAAAAACTATTCATTTTTGGAGGTGTTTCTGGGCATATAGATATGGCTTGCCCTTTCTTTTTCTGATCCTGTACTGTGGAGAAATGGGACACCTCAGGTGGTCTCTGTTACTTGAATTGGTTTTGAACCCGCCTGTGTTGGGACATGCACTTACCCAGTGTCACTAAGCCCGAGCATTCTCATTCAAGAAAAAGTTGTATGCTTTTATGCTCATGTCAGCTTGCCCCTTAAAATGTTTTTCTGTGGGACACCACTATTTTAAATGCAAATGGTCCTTATACTCCTGATTGTGTTCTTGCCATTAACTGTGAGAGTGCTACCGTTCAGGTTTTTTGGTGTTTTTTTGTTGTTCGGTGTCTCACTTTTTCTTTTATCTTGCTTTCCTGTAATTACCTCATACATTGTCTCTGTTCCTTCCTTATATTTACTGTGCTTCAAGCCTCAAACTTGTACTCACTGTTCTAAAAGCATTTGTACTCAGTTTAGTAGGAAATTAATGCTAGTCAGGAGGATTTTTCCCCTTAAAGTTTACAAGTTCGATTTTGAAAGTGGAAATCCTGAAGTTTTACCAATGTATATTCGTCCTCCATTTGTTGTCTTCCAAATGTTATGTGCCATAGTAAAGTTTTGACTTGGATATAATATTAAGTAACTGAGTCTTATTTGAGCATAGCATGTCTTAAATAATGGAAACAGAATTTTCAGTAAAAATACGTATACCACTGAAGTCTGCCTTTGCATCCCCAGTTGTATTTAAAACATGTTGTAACTCTAGTGTACTATATGCCAACGAAGCCTGATGCAGGCCAGGTGCAGCATTCTAAACTACTTTTGTCACTATTGACATTCATGCCAATTCCTGAAATGACTAAAAATAAAGAAAAATCATGCTACTTTACTTTATGTTTGTTCTTTTGGCCAACAATATATAGTTCAACTTACTACAAATAAGCAGCTTGAAAAAAATGTGCACTTTCTTTGTATGGCTGTGAGACTGCAACCAGTGAACAGCAAACATTGTCATGTCAAATTTTGTACTCAGCCATCTACAGTGAATTTTAAACACATTTTGTCACATAACCATACATTAGTTGCTCTTCTCCATTTGATTATTCCATTTAATTTCTACTTCATTTTTAAGGGTCTCAGCAATGAATTATTTTGTTTTAAATCAAAACTGCTACAGGGATGCGCTAGAAAAGGGGGAAAAATAGAAAAATTCCAAATCCCTAACTGTAAAAATTAAGGGCCCTGTGTTTATCAGTTGTATGAGACAGTATGTATAGCAGAATTGCAAATGATTAGTAATTTTTAGTTATTTTAACCCACTCTCTTTTAACAGTATGATATACATGTATTTGTTAATGTTCAGTGAGTATTCCTCTAATTTTGTTGTGCATTTTCCCCCCTTTTCCATGAAGGCCTTATCTCTTTGGAGCAGGATGTTTTTCCATAAAAGCTCCATGGTGAGTTCCAGTTCAGTCCCGCATGCCTAACTCATTTGCTGTGCACTCAAAAGTAGCTCTGTTCATTGCTTTGTTTTCAGTTGCATGGCCTAGTCACACATAGTTGCGCCAAATTATTGAGTAATTTCTAGATAAAACATGAATGTTGATGTAAGCTTTAAAGAAGTGAAGGGGTTTTCTGGGTTTTACTTTATTTCACAGTTACATATTTTTTAAAAAAAGAAAATGGAAGAAATGTCTCATAATTTTAAGTCCTTAGTTTAGAGCTTTGAGTACTGTTGTGATAGAAATTCCTATATAGCATGCTTAGGCTGTGATTTATTTTGAAAGGTGAATATATTTAAGGTAAAGCAGAAATAGCCTATACTGTTGTACTACATTTTATTCAGTCCCAAGGGACAACATTGAGCTAGCTGTGTTTTGAATAGATTTGGTGTTTAGGGAGTTATATGATTAGGTACTATGTATTTCACATAAAAACTCAAATATGATTTACTATTTTGAATTATTAGTACCTTCTCACCATAACTCAAATATTTAGTAAATTCTTTTGTAATGGTGCATAGACTATAGCTTTGTCAATTTCAGGCATGATGATCATAGAAAAGAAATAGAATATATCTCATACTTCCATTTCACAATGTAAATTAGCATGCATTAAGAACTGATGCTGAGGCAGGAGGATTGTAGGTTCTAGGCTATCCTGGGCCACATAGCAAAGCTCTGTCTTAAAAGCAACACAACACAAAACAAAACAAAAAAAAAAAGGAAGAAAGAAAACAAAAACAATGACCAATTTGAATTGGAGTATCTGAACCCTAATATGATAATCACACACACCAGTACATGTCACAATATAGCAATAGTACCTAGCACCCAGTAACCACTAATTAATTGTCACCTACTACTAAATACTAGTAAAGTTCCTTCCCCTTATTCCAACCCCAGTTTAAAAAGTTGTCGTCGTTCTTTTTCTCTTCCTTTTTTTATGAGATTGGAGTTTGAATTCAGGGCATCACATGCTCTATCATTTGAGCCACATCTTCAGACCAGAAAAGATGTTTCTTTATAATTGGGTCATGCGTTTTGAGTGAAATACTGAAGTTGAGCACTATTTGGCACAGACTATTGTCAGTGTTCATATGTCAAAGGAATGCTCATTCTTACTGTCATATAAGAATTAGGTGACATAAAACCATCAAATATTCCTCCTTGCAATACAGAATCATGATTTGAACAGAGTTCACAAAACTGTTCTTACACATGAGTTTAAACTCCTTTAAAATCAACCATTTTTTTCTCCCCACTTCAGTTTTGGGAATTTAACCGAGGGCCTTAGGCCTGGTGAGCAAGTTCCCTACCACTGAGCTGGATCCTCACCCTTTCGATCTTTATTCTTTTTGTTAACCAGAATTCTTCTGAAAACAAGTAAGATACATGAATTTTACTCATGACCTTGTAGTTTAGCAGAGAATTTTAAATGCCACATTCAACAAATGATGAACTTTCTTTGTACACTAAACTTAGTATTAAATTCCATTTTAGGATAAATTCCTCATTCTGAGTACAAACAAAACAGTTTTAGTATATTAATAAAGATTGAAGTTTTCACATAGAACTAAAGATGGGGTAACAAATGTTGTATGTTAAGTAAGAAAAGTCCATTTCCCCAACAGCTTATGTGCTCCTCACATTTAAGCAAAAGCACTTGTCAACCAGAAATGATTTGAGGTTGAAACAAGATTAAAAGAGCCAGATTAAAGAAAGGATATATGAAATATAGTAGACTTTTAAATCATTGCCTGTCTTTTAGAAGACTGCTTTGTGGTTTGTTTGATGCCATCGTTAGCTCACAAGAAACTCGTTTTTAGTCACTTACGCTAGACTAAAAGGTCCTCCTTTAAAATATGTTACTTTACCAGGGATGCATGTTTTTCCCATTAAGATCTTAATGAAACCTCAAATTAAGGCAGCAAAATGAATATCAATTTGACAACTTCTTCTGTGTTGTTTATAAGAGGTTCTTTGTTTCAAAAGTTTTTGCTCTTTTTCCATGATATTTGACATTTAACTTTAGAATGTTTTTATTTACTGTTCTGAAGTAAAACATTATGTTAAGTAAATCAGTTTATAGTACTTCGTATTTTACAGTAATATATGGATTTTGGGTGAAATGAAGTTTTTGCAGATTTTCTTAAAATGGAAGTTTCTTACATTTGTACTTAGTTAAGATTTTTGCTTTTGGTATGTCACAGTTCCTACTAATTCTTTATTCTTCACTGAATGGGTGTAAGTCTTTAAATTCATGCTGCTTCAGATGAGTTATTCAGTACTTTTCCTTTGTATCATCTGCATGGGCTCATTGGAAAATAAACTGCAGGATACTCAGCATCGCAGTCAGTTTAAGTTTGGTATCCTCTAGATTTATTCAGGATTTTGAATGACTATTAAATAGTGTAGAAGATTTATACATGTATCATACCTATTTCAGTACAGGAATTTAAGAGAGTGTTAGTGTGAATTTTTAAAGCTGAATTTTTATTTCAGTATTACAAATAAGTAACAAGTAAAAAGCTTGTAATATGCATGTAGTATTATGTTTAAGCTGTTTTTGAATACTCATACACACAAGAGAAAGACAGTCGGTAGTCCATCTGAAAATATCCTTTACTTATAAATTATATTTACGTTAGTTGAGGTTCATTTACATATCAAATTATATTTAATGTTTTAGTTACCACTCTTTAGGAGTACTTGACTGAAATAAAAATGGTTTTTGTAGATTAATATCGTTCTCTTAGAATATTTTAACAATGATTAGGAAAATTTTAGTTATACTTTTAAAAGATAATATTTATTATGTCCTGCTTACATAATTCTGTTAGACCTTTAAGAATACTTTATGATAAAGTAGATAAAATGTTGGTAGGTTATTAGTATTTTTAGTTATTTAAAATAAGATACTTTTAGTTTCCTTGCTTAAGTCTCATTAAAAAAATAAAAAGGTCAGTGAGATAAAACTTCTAAAATCGTTTTAAAAGTTTAATCACAGAGGAGCTTAAAGAAAATTATCTCTTTAATAGAAGGCCATTATTACTTAGAATTCTTAATATTGTGTTCTACATGTACCCTCAAATATTAGCTGTTCACTTTTGCTTTGGAAAAGGAAAGAAATGGTGCTTGTATCATATCAGTTCCTTCTATGCTGTGTACTTCTAAACCAGGGACTGGGCTACATCACTGCCTATCCTGCCATCCACAGCTTTACCACATACATCCTATCCTATGGTAAATAGTAAAAGGATACAGATAAAGGTCATTGTCCTATATCTTTACATCAGATACACTAGAAGGTTTTGCTTTTTCTTTCTATTTCTCCTGTTTGAAGATGAGCAGGAGATGAGAAAGCAGGCTAGAGAAATTCAATACATTAATCTGAGTGGATAACATAATACAGTAAAAGCCAATGAGAGAAAGATGGGGAACTTCAATTCCTCTCAAAATATTTTTGAAATTCTAGGATGTTAATATCACTACACTAATGTCTTGGCAGTGGAAACGACTCACATTCTATGGTTTGATGGTTAAAGCTTGTGTCAGAAGCAATGACAAAGAGTTAAACTACTTTTTAATTTACCACTTTGTTATTATTCTTCCTGATATGGTTGAATTCATTTCATTTCCTTTTATGCTTTGCTCCAAAGCCAAGTTTTAAAAAAATCTTGGATAATTTATGAAACACTAACGTTAGTAAAGCACAGAAGTTTATCACTAGAAGAGTGTCCATCAGGACTATCATTATATTTTGTTATCATGTATAATCATTTAAAAAATGGGTAAGTTAAGGGTAATCATACAGTTCAAGTGGTAGAGTGCTTGCTAGACAAATGGATGACTCTGAGTTCAATCCCAAGTACCACCAAAACAAATAAAAAAATCTTAGCACAAATGGATGAGTCCACATAATGAATCCAGTTGAATTCCTAGCTACGGATATAAATTGAAATGCTATTTTTATTTTTATATCATTGTATCATCAAATCAATGCTGAATAAATAAACACTAAATGAAGAAAAGTCCTTTAAACATAGACAGAATTCTTTTTAAACTTGCAGATGTTCTCTAATGGGATTTGTTTACAGACCCCTTTCAGAGAAGAAAGATGTTGAAAGAAGAAAAATGGCTAATATAAGGGTTGGGTCAGCTGTCTGTAAGTTCACATGATTTACAGAACTCTTTTCTATTCCATTCACATGTATCATTTTCAATTTATCTTTCTGTTGACAAAATTATTTTTGATAGAAGTATTTTGGGTCATTGTGGGAAAGTTCATATGTAGTATGTTGCTTCTACCAAGCTTTCCTAGGCACAGTCTTCTTACAACTTCTAAGATAAGGAGCAAATTGCACTTTGGATATATCATATAGAAAACATTTAGTCTGGTGCCAGACGCCCATGCCTTATTTCTGGCTACTCAGTATGCTGAGATCAGGAGAATTGCAGTTTGATGCCAGCCTTAGCAAATAGTTCAAGAGACCCCCATCTTTAAAATAACCAGAGCAAAATGGACTGGAGGTGTGTGTGGCTCAAGTGGTAGAGCATCTGCTTTGCTAGCACATGTGTTGCAAGTGAGAGGCCCTGAGTTCAAACTACACTGCCAAAAAAAAACAAAAGAAGAAAAAATTTCTTACTAACATTCTTCTCATTACTTTATTTCTCTTTTATATTCTGCTACATGTCTTATACACATATTCCCTTATTTTTACATTTTTACTTTGCTTAAATACCAAAATCATTCCAAATGTAGATCAATGATAGAAATAATTTGTGGGTTTACCTAGTATGTTCCATCCCCAGTATATAGCACTATTTCATGTAGTAAGTAGCAAGTTATCTTTAGGGATGAAAACTTTTGATTCTTTGTTAAACTTGAAATTTTTCTAATGAGATTGACTAAATCTTTGTCAGAGGATTAAGAAGAAAAGAAAAAATGTAAGAAGCAACCGATAGCTTTTACATAAACGAAGCACACTTTTGCCACAAATACTTACTGTGTAACAAATAATGAGTTTGTGAAGTACACTCTGTTGATACTTCTGTGTTCCAAGACAGAATTCTGTATACCTTTTAAATGTATAAGAGATTTTAGCTTTTCACATGGACTTATTAGACTGTGAGCTAACAAGCCTGTACAATATGTTTTTGTGTGTCCAAGGACTAAATTGATGTCCTATGATTTTTCTGCTCTTGATGATTATGTTCAAAAAGTAGCCATCTGGCCCAGTACCAACTTTTTAAAAGTCTGTTTAAATGTATGCTTTAGATGAACTCTTTCTCTTAAAAAAATGGCATATTCACTTGTTATCATGATTTAAAACAACAAAAATCTAATCTAGTAACTTGCAAATTTGAATTTGTCCCTGTGAAACTTGTTTTGTTTTGTGTTGGTGATTCTAGTAACAGTATATAGCAACGCAATTGCAAACCCCTTTCAAGAAATTCTAGGGTGGTTTCCTCCCTCCTCTTCCCCAATCCTCCTCAACCCCTAAGGATTAACATTGAGCGATGGCCCTTACAGATGCTACTTACAGGAACTCGTAAGCTCAGTTATAGTAGTGCAGTGATGGAAAGGAGCACTTTGAGGGGAAAGGTACATCTAATATACAAAGAACGTTACACTGGGAAAAGTTGTGATGCCAGGGATCCCGGATGGCAGGGGAGGGTGCCCATGTGGTTCAGGTGTGGGATACAAGGAGGAGCCTCTTTTCTGGAGGTGGGTATTGCAGTTGTGGCAGATGCAGTTATGAAGAGGAAACTATAGAACCTGACTCATAAGCTCACAGAAACATTTTTTAAAAGACTATGTCTATTCCACATTTATTGGAGGCTTGATTATGCTTGATGTTAAGATTTTAGGCATGGATGTGATTTGTTTGGGGAAAGTTGTGAAGTGTCTAGTAAACATTACTGATGGGAAAAACAGGCTTTTTCATATACAGCAGTGTGCATCATCATAGATCTGTTTCAAAAAGGAAGGACAGGACCAATCATTGGAGCATCTAATTCAGACTTTTTAGAGGGAAGGTGTCAAGATATCTGAGAGTCTGTTTCAAGTGTTACAAGAAATGGAAAGTGGAGATTGCTAACATAATGTCTAATATTTTGAAAATACAGAAAAGAGGGAATATTTGTTGAATACTGTGACGTGGGCGAACACTGCCCTGGAAGCTTTACTTGCTGTCTCTAGAGCAGTGCTTCTCAAACTTAAGCATACAGCAGAATCTTCTGGAGGCTTTTATTTAAAAGTGTATGGTTTGTTGAGTTCCACCCTAGATTTAGTCTCAGAAGCTCCCGTCATACTACTATGGTGCAGACTTGAAGATGTCCTTTAACTGTACTAGTTAGTAATAACTATTTGTATTTTTCATGTTAGTAGTCTGAGTTCTGAGTCATTAAATAAGTTAACAAAAAGTTAGAATCTGCCCCCCCCCAAAAAAAAGAAAAAGAAAAATGTTACACAACTAACAAATGGTAGCATTAAGCTTCAAATTCAGGTTTCTTTCTTTAAAGATAATGGTATAAGGTTGAGTGCAGTGGTTCATGTCTATAATCCTAGCTACTGGGAAGGTGAGGAGGGAGGTAGATATTGGAAGGATCGCCATTGAAGACCAGCCTAAGCAAAAGGCAGTGAGACCCCATCTCAACAAGCAAGCCATGCCTAGTGGTGCACACTTGTCATCCTAGTTATGGGATAGGTTGGGAAACAGCAGTCTGAACCTGGCCCCAGGGCAGAAACACAAGTCCCTATCCCAAAAAAAAGGAGTAAAAACACAACAAAGCTGGGGATGTCACTCAAGTAAATGCCTAGGCAGTGTGAGGCCCTGAGTTAAAAACCCCTGTACCAAAAACTATAGGATTTGAAAGAAAATGAAAGAGGGATATTACAATGTGAGGGCAGTCAAAGAGGAAGTCATAATAGCAGTTACTAAAGACAAGAAGAAAAAGAAACAACAAAGAGGAAGATCAATGAATATAATCACGACAGGTCATGGCTCTTCTTCTAGGCTGTACACCTCAACCTGGCAGTGTTACTGTGAGTGTTTTCAAAGTTTCACTTTATTCTCATCTCATTTTCATATGTGCTGTCTCCATTTACCTGTATTGCTAATCCCATCTTATATGTCAAAATGAAATGATACTTCGTTTTATTAGTAGAAGAGCTTTAAGATTCACTTAGGTTTTTTGAAGTGAAGGTCTCACTGTGGTGCCCAGAATGTCCTCGGAGTCATGGGCACAAGTGATCCTCCCGCCTCAGCCTCCCAAGTAGCTAGAACCACAGGGGTGTGCCATTGCACACACCTAAAAAGAATGTCGTTTCTGTCTGTTGCTCTGTCGGTAAGACTGTGCAACTTTGATAAAATTTGAATTTTGTTCTGGAACAGTCTCACATCACCAGTTACTTATTTCTTAATCACTTACTATTGTGGCAAAATGCATGTCCATTTTGTAGTATTTGAACATGTGGGGTGGAACTTAAAGTAAAACCTTGTATCTAGAGGAATGTCATTTCATCATGGTAATTTTTTTACTGTCATTTTATTTTTTAAGCAAAGTTAAACCACCTCCACAAATTTCACCCAGCAAGTCAATGGGCGGAGAGTTTTGCGTGGCTGCTATCTTTGGGACATCCAGGTCATGGTTTTCAAATAATGCAGGTCTAAAAAGAGAAAAAGGTATGTATTTCTACTGAAGTTCAAGCTTACCATTTATCCTTTTGCTTCTTAGGGGACATTGAAAGGAAGAGTAGCATTGTATCAATTTTTACAAAAAAGAAAAATTTGTTTATCTTCTTTCCAGTCAACTAGCATATCTCACCTTAACTACTGAGGCATAGTTAAGATGATAAACTGTCCTCTCCCATGCATATGAAATGAGTTTCCTATGCAGTGATTTTGTCTTGTTTTGTTTATGACAGCCTACAAGTAATTTCAGTGCTGTCAATTCTTTACTTACTTCATAACATCTCTCCCCACCACTTTCTTTTTTTTTTTTTTTTTGTGGAGTTAATGGGGTTTGAACTCAGGGCCTACACCTTGAGCCATTCCACTAGTCCTTTTTTTGATGGGAATTTTTTCAAGATAGGATCTTGTTAATTATTTGCCTGGGCTGGCTTCAAACCATAGTCCTCCTGATCTTTGCCTCCTGAGTAGCTACGATTAAAGGTGCAAACCACTAGTGCCTGGCCGAAACCTTTATTTTCTAATGCTAAATCTTGACTTTAAAAAAAAAAAAACAAGGGCTGGTGAAGTGGCTCAAATGGTAGAGCGCCTGCCTAGCAAGTGTGAGGCCCTGAGTTCAAACTCCGTTACCACCAAAAAAACCCGCAAAAACCAAAAAACAGCAACTCTGCATTGTTTTTTCTTGTTGTTTGTTTTGTTTTGGCAGTCCTAGTGTTAGAACTCATGGCTTCATGCTTGTGAGACAGACACTCTCCAACCCTCCGCCTTGTCACTGAGAAATAAGGGTCAATTTTTGTGGTTACCATTGTGTCTTTGAGTTCATATAATTGCTATATAATTATATAAACACTGCCTCAATCATTAGGATCGACACCTTAAATACTTGTGTAATTAATGTTTTAATGTGATTCTTTTATTGTCTTTGTATAGAAGAGGATGCCTACATTCACAGACCATGTATATAATTTTGAATGTTAAGTTATGATTTTTTTCTTACTAAATTAGGTCACAAACTGGGTTAATACTGGGGGATGTCTGGTGAGTTCCACAGGCTGTATTGTTCTTGGCAAAATGGCTTTTCTTTACGCTTAATACTGGTGGTCAGACATCAACCCTTTCCAGTGTTATCGCCTTTCAGTGACCCTTTCCTTAGTAATAGGATCTGGGCTCAACAGGTCCCTTACCTAAATGAGAGAGGATACTGCAAAGTATGCAAGCCTTCCATTTCCTTATCCCATCTTTAATTTTGTTACCTCCTTTGGTTTAATGATGGTATCAAAAGGCCTTTTTGTTACTACTAGTTAAAACTTCTGTGAAGCTCAATTTCAAATGCTTCTCCCTTCTGTTCTAATTACCCTTTTAACTTGCTACTCCTTTTTGTCCCACTGACTGGTCATTAGCCATTTTCTCAAATCAGCTGTAATTGATTCGTCTGACACAGAGATAAGATGACCCACCCAGCATTCATGAGTGATTTTTTTTTTTTTGTATGCTCCTTGGTTTACTGTAAAACCTGAGATTGAGCTGTAAACCTGTTTTGGCAGTGAGTACATGTGTACTCCCTATAAAGTCATTTGTTTAGATCCTTATTCAAGCACCTGACTTCTCAAAGTATGGCTGGCCTTCATATACCCTTGAGAGAAATGAACTAAGATCATTTCTCCCCGCTTCCCTCCCCCTCCTATTCCCCCGCCTCCCTCCCTTACCCACCCTAACCCCTCGCTACCAGGCAGAAACTATTTTGCCCTTATGTCTAATTTTGTTGAAGAGAGAGTATAAGCAATAATAGAAAGGAACAAAGGTTTTTACTAGTTGAGATAAGGATAGCTATACAGGGAGTTGACTCGTATTGATTTCCTGTACATGTGTGTTACTTTCTAAGTAAATTCTTCTCGAACTAACCTTTTCTCTAGTTCCTGGTCCCCTTCTCCTATTGGCCTCACTTGCTTTAAAGTATCTGCTTTAGTTTCTCTGCGTTGAGGGAGTTTTTTGAGTGTCTTACCTATCCTCCTACCTTCCTTGTGTGTTCTCGCTTTATCTTGTGATCAGAGTCCAATCTCCTTGTTGTGTTTGCCCTCGATCTAATGTCCGCATATGAGGGAGAACATCCGATTTTTGGTCTTCTGAGCCTGGCTAACCTCACTCAGAATGATGTTCTCCAATTCCATCCATTTACCAGCGAATGATAACATTTCGTTCTTCTTCATGGCTGCATAAAATTCCATTGTATATAAATACCACATTTTTTTGTTTTATTATTCATATGTGCATACAAGGCTTGGGTCATTACTCCCCTGTCCCCCCCACCCCCTCTCTTACCACCCACTCCACCCTCTCCCTCCCCCCCCCCACACCCTCGCTACCTGGCAGAAACTATTTTGCCCTTATCTCTAATTTTGTTGAGAGAGTATAAGCAATAATAGAAAGGAACAAGTGTTTTTGCTAGTTGAGATAAGGATAGCTATGCAGGGAGTTGACTCACATTAATTTCCTGTGTGTGTGTGTGTGTTACCTTCTAGGTTAATTCTTCTTTTTTTTTTTTTCATTTTTCTTTTATTATTCATATGTGCATACAAGGCTTGGTTCGTTTCTCCCCCCTGCCCCCACCCCCTCCCTTTCCACCCACTCCGCCCCCTCCCTCTCCCCCCCCCCAATACCCAGCAGAAACTATTTTGCCCTTATTTCTAATTTTGTTGTAGAGAGAGTATAAGCAATAATAGGAAGGAACAAGGGTTTTTGCTGGTTGAGATAAGGATAGCTATACAGGGCATTGACTCACATTGATTTCCTGTGCGTGGGTGTTACCTTCTAGGTTAATTCTTTTTGATCTAACCTTTTCTCTAGTTCCTGGTCCCCTTTTCCTATTGGCCTCAGTTGCTTTTAAGGTATCTGCTTTAGTTTCTCTGTGTTAAGGGCAACAAATGCTAGCTAATTTTTTAGGTGTCTTACCTATCCTCACCCCTCCCTTGTGTGCTCTCGCTTTTATCATGTGCTCAAAGTCCAATCCCCTTGTTGTGTTTGCCCTTGATCTAATGTCCACATATGAGGGAGAACATACGATTTTTGGTCTTTTGGCCAGGCTAACCTCACTCAGAATGATGTTCTCCAATTCCATCCATTTACCAGCGAATGATAACATTTCGTTCTTCTTCATGGCTGCATAAAATTCCATTGTGTATAGATACCACATTTTCTTAATCCATTCGTCAGTGGTGGGCACTTGGCTTGTGAATAGTGCTAATAAACATGGGTGTGCAGGTGCCTCTGGAGTAACCTGTGTCACAGTTTTGGTATATCCCCAAGAGTGGTATTGCTGGATCAAATGGTAGATCAATGTTAGCTTTTTAAGTAGCCTCCAAATTTTTTTCCAGAGTGGTTGTACTAGTTTACATTCCCACCAACAGTGTAAGAGGGTTCCTTTTTCCCGCATCCTCGCCAACACCTGTTGTTTGGTGTTGCTAATGATGGCTATTCTAACAGGGGTGAGGTGGAATCTTAGTGTGGTTTTAATTTGCATTTCCTTTATTGCTAGAGATGGTGAGCATTTTTTCATGTGTTTTTTGGCCATTTGAATTTCTTCTTTTGAGAAAGTTCTGTTTAGTTCACTTGCCCATTTCTTTATTGGTTCATTATTTTGGGAGAATTTAGTTTTTTAAGTTCCCTATATTCTGGTTATCAGTCCTTTGATGTGTAGCTGGCAAATATTTTCTCCCACTCTGTGGGTGTTCTCTTCAGTTTAGAGACCATTTTTTTGTTGAGCAGAAGCTTTTTAGTTTTATGAGGTCCCATTTATCTATGCTATCTCTTAGTTGCTGTGCTGCTGGGGTTCCATTGAGAAAGTTCTTGCCTATACCTACTAATTCCAGAGTATTTCCTACTCTTTCCTGTATCAACTTTAGAGTTTGGGGTCTGATATTAAGATCCTTGATCCATTTTGAGTTAATATTGGTATAGGGTGATAACATGGATCTAGTTTCAGTTTTTTGCAGACTGCTAACCAGTTTTCCCAGCAGTTTTTGTTGAAGAGGCTGCTTTTCTCCATCGTATATTTTTAGCTCCTTTGTCAAAGACAAGTTGGTTATAGTTGTGTGGCTTCATATCTGGGTCCTCTATTCTGTTCCACTGGTCTTCATGTCTGTTTTTGTGCCAGTACCATGCTGTTTTTATTGTTATTGCTTTGTAATATAGTTTGAAGTCAGGTATTGTGATACCTCCTGCATTGTTCTTTTGACTGAGTATTGCCTTGGCTATTCGTGGCCTCTTGTGTTTCCATATAAATTTAACAGTAGATTTTTCAATCTCTTTGATGAATGTCATTGGAATTTTGATGGGAATTGCATTAAACATGTAGATTACTTTTGGGAGTATAGACATTTTTACTATGTTGATTCTACCAATCCATGAGCATGGGAGATCTCTCCACTTTCTATAGTCTTCCTCAATCTCTTTCTTCAGAAGTTTATAGTTTTCCTTGTAGAGGTCGTTCACATCCTTTGTTAAGTTTACACCTAGGTATTTGATTTTTTTGAGGCTTTTATAAATGGAATTGTTTTCATATATTCTTTCTCAGTTTGTTCATTATTAGTATATAGAAATGCTAATGATTCTTCTATGCTGATTTTTTATCCTGCTACCTTGCTGTAGCTATTGATGGTATCTAGGAGCTTTTGAGTAGAGTTTTTTGGGTCTTTAAGGTATAGGATCATATCGTCTGCAAATAGGGGTATTTCGACAATTTCTTTACCTATTTGTATTCCTTTTATTCCTTCTTCTTGCCTAATTGCTCTGGCTAGGAATTCCAGTACTATGTTGAATAGGAGTGGAGATAGTGGGCATTCTTGTCTCGTTCCTGATTTTAGAGGGAATGGTTTCAGTTTTTCTCCATTAAGTATAATGCTGGCTATAGGTTTGTCATATATAGCTTTTATGATGTTGAGGTACTTTCCTTCTATTCTTAGTTTTCTTAGAGCTTTTATCATGAAATGGTGTTGGATCTTATCAAAGGCTTTTTCTGTATCTATTGAGACGATCAAGTGGTTTTTGTCTTTGCTTCTGTTAATGTGGTTTATTACGTTTATTGATTTTCATATGTTGAACCACCCCTGTATTCCTGGGATGAAGCCTACTTGGTCGTGGTGAATGATCTTTTTGATGTGTTGTGAGGAGAGACTTTTTCTAGTAGTTTCACATTCACTGCAAAATTGAAAGGTACAGAGACTTCCCATATAACTCTGTGTCACACAGTATCCTCACTCTGTATCAGCATTCCCCATCAGAGTGGTGCATTTGTTTTAATTGATGAACATACATTGACATATTGTGTATGGGGGGTGTGGTTTGTTTTGATCTGGAAATTTAAGTTTTAAATTTATGTTCTTTGAGCAAAAGCAAATGAACTGTAAGACTGATTTAGGCATATAAGTAGCCTTTCATGAAGGTGAGTTGGTATATCCAGTATAAGCGAATCTTAGAATATAGATTTCTCTTGTCAGTCAGTTCTTAACTATCTCATGTGATTTCATTCGTTCTTCATTATGTGGGACAAACTACATAGTAGAGAAATATAAAATATTATGAAATAATGTTTATCACTATTAGAATTTTGAACATATTTATATTATTCTTGAAATAAATTACTTCATATTTTACAATATTGTCATACTGTATAGATTTTTCATTCTTTGGCATCTACTTATAAAAGACAGTCTTCAAATAATGAGCAGGCACCATATGACAAAGTTGTGTTCCTTTTTTTTCCCTCAGCAGGCTCAGGAGTAGACTGACAAGGTCAATAACATGTAAAAATTATGCTGTCTTCTTTTTATGCCATCCTCATACATCCATGTCTGTTTCTTTATTTTTAGATCAGTCCAAGCAAGTTTTAGTTGAATCTCTCTACATTATCAGTTGCTATGGGACCTTAGTGGAGCACATGATGGAGCCCCGACCCCTCAGCACTGCTCCCAAGATAAGTGATGACACTCCCCTGGAGATGATGACATCACCTCGGGCCAGCTGGACTCTAGTGAGGTATTCCCTCTCTCCCTCCCTCTCTTATTTCCATCCATCCTCCTTCCTTTCTTATTGAGGTATGAAAGATTAAAAATATATCATCTGAGAAAGTTGGACTTAGGCATAGAGCTATGAAATCATTATCACAACTAACATAGTAAGTGTGTTCATCCACAAATGTATGTTGTTTGCTTTCATTTATAGTTTTCTGTTTTGCCCCTAGAATTTTATATTAATAAGATCACATAATTTGCACTTTTTTGTCTGGCTTATTACTTTTTCATTTGGCATATTTCACATACAATAAAATTCAACCACAAAAATGAGTTGTGCACCCATCACTACAATCTGTTTTCACCACCACATAAAAAAATCCTGTAACAGTCACTTTCCATTTCTCTCTAACCCTTAACTCCAGTTAGCCACCAATTCCCTTTCTGTCAGTGGATTTGCCTTCTCTAGTCTTTTCAAAATAGAATCATAGATTACCTTTCATGTCTGGCTTCTCCCATTTAGCATATTTTCAATCTCCATCGATGTCGCTGCCATGTATCAGAACCTCATTCCTTTTTATAGCCACATTGTAGTCCATTATATGGACATATATCATGTTTTTCATCTGGTCATTAGCTAGTACACATCCCCCCGACCCCTTTTTTTTGCAGACAGGGGTTTGAACTCAGGACCTTCACCTTGAGCCACTCCACCAGCCCTTTTTTGTGAAGGGTTTTTGTTTTGTTTTGAGATAGGGTCTCATGAACTATTTGCTTGGGCTGGCTTTGATCCAGAATCCTCTTGATCTTTGCCCTCTGAATGCTAGGATTATAGGCGTGAGCTACTAGTGCCTGGCCATTTCCACTTTTAACTATGTTAATATTGCTGAAAACATTCGAAATCAAATTTTTGTGTGGACATATGTGTTTAATTTAAGAGTGCTTTCTCTTGCTTCTTTGTGTTATCTTTGCTTAGGGTTGTGCTTATTTCAGACTCATGCTCACTGAAAATAGTGAACAGCATTGAGATGGCCAATAAGGGGAATGGAAACTAATATGAGTAGATTTGAAGTTTTTCTTTAAAGTGATTGCCCACATGCAGTGGTTAGACACTGTAGAAAGTTTACTGAGAACCAGAATCCATTTCTAAAGTGCGTAATGATTAGAGTCTTTATGAGATGGTACAAAGAGGAATAAATGAAACCTGGAATAAAACCTGCTCAATAGTACATTGTCCATGGGAGGAGAAATCACTCCAGACATGTATGGAAGGAAACAGACAAAAATGGATATGAAAATGACTCCTCTCCTTTGACATTTTAAAATATTCTTTTATTGATTTTTAGAGGCTCCAGCATTCTTTACTCCTACTCTACTGTGCTTGATTGATCTGATCAATAGCTGATTTATCAAGCTTATTTAAACTTGGGCAGATCTAATTGAAATTACTGCAGTATCATTATTGAAAAACTGCCTTATTTTGGAACTCAGATGCTAATTAGATCTATAATACATAATCCATTTACACAGCTTTTTAAAACCACTTTTACCTGCTACATTTCTTGTCAAAATGTATACCTATTTTAAGACTAGACATGTCTAATACTACTCAAAAATTACTTAATATTAGAACTATGTATTTGTGGCATTCGACTTCTCTCCTTCCTCTCTATTTTGTCTTTTGGATGTCTTTTCTGTCCTGTTGAAGAGTCTTATATTGGCTTCATGTTATTTGTATGACACATTGCCACCTTTTTATTCTTTTAAAGTACTTGGCCTTGTGTTTCTGGTTTCAGCATATTCATTTTAATGATTACAAAAGTAGTGTGAGTTTATATCAGTGTCTATAAGTGATGACAGTCTTGGTGATTTACATCCCATCTACTAAGCTTAAATATTAATATTCTTCTGCTGTTTCCTTAGAACACCTCAATGGAATGAATTGCAGCCACCATTTAATGCAAACCACCCTCTGCTACTTGCTGCAGATGCAGTGCAATATTACCAGTTCCTGCTTGCTGGCCGTAAGTAGTTTTAATGGTTGGATTTTTTTCTTCCATGTGTCTTTTCAGATTTTTGTCTTAAAATGCTGAATTTTAGAGGATACATACTATTATGGGTCCATAAGCCATAGTCTGTAAATACTCAGACTGAGGCAAATAATATAGTTAATACATGTGTGTCTCTGGCTGTTCTTTTCCCTGCATATGAATTCCACCTCTGTAACTATCTGGTGGGTTCAAAAATTGGAAAACAAATCTCATCACATGTGAATATATACCAAACAGATTCATAATGCTTAGGATCTATTTCTAAAAAATAATAATAATCCCTTTTCATCATGAGAACTATGTCGGCATGGGTTTTTTTTTTGTGGAATTTTTACTTGGAATAACTAAGTAATGATTTTTAACTCCTTTATGGTTTTGTGTTTGTTTGTTTGTTTGTTTGTTTTGCAGTGTTGGGGTTTGTACCCAGGGCCTTGTGCACACTGCTGTACCAGTGACCTAATTTTTTGTTTGTTTTCTTTCACATTTGTAGAGACATGACAGAGTTTGTCAAACTAGAAACCCAGACCTTTTTTTATATAGCAAGCATGAAAAGACAATTTAATATTTATTATTCAGTTTGTGTTTACAGAATTAAAAGTTCTTTACAATTATAATTCAGTTTTGTAGAATGGTCTGAGTGCTGGTTTGATGTGATGGCTCTAGAGTCCTGCATTTTTTAAGTAACTTTCTAAAAATCAACATTGACATGCATTTAATAGAATTTTGTTGTATTCAACTTATTACCTTGCCTAGTAATTATAAAGTAGGAATTAAAATCATTCTAGATCTTTTATTTCATTTTCACAATGTGTTACATGCTGTAATGGAATGGAAAAAATTTTATAGGCTTTGCCCTACAGTTATGAAACACCAGAACTGAATAGTTGGTTGCCTTGCTCTCTAATAGTTTTGAACTCTGCTTGTTCTATCACATACTCAAGTACTTGTAATGTGTCAGGCACTTGTGGTTTAAAGGTCAGTAGTATGTTGTCTCTGTCCTCAGTCAATTGACTGTCTAATCTGGAGACAGTCTTTTGAAAAATGAGTTAAATAAAATGGGATAGGTATATCAGTGGAGAGCAGAGTGGATAGAAGTTGTTAGTCTCTAAGTTTTTAAAAGCATATATTTAGCTATCATATGAACTAGATAAAACATGAGACATATATGATATCAAAGAAAAATCCTTAGCACATTTTCCCAATACCTTTCATAAATGGGCAGAAATAACCAATTGACTTAGAGTTGCCTGTTACAGAGTTAATATTAGATTTTGTTGAGAAACAGTGACAAGTTCAAAATACTTAAGAAAATGTAGGGGGAAAAAAGCACCACATCTTTTAATTTTTTCATTCTGGTGATTAAACTGGTGACATTACTTGATTTGAGCTGCCCTAAACACCATTCATTGTCCAATTTAATAACAGTTCCAAGGTGTGTAATTTAAGAACCTCACTATTGGTGATAGCAAGTCATCAAATGTTTTCAGTTATAGGACTGACCACATCAGAATTGTTGTTTATTTGTTTTTGACCACATTGGGGATCGAACCGAGGTGGAGTGCTTACACATACCAGATGTGCACTCTACTATTGAGTTACAACCCCAGTCCCCAGAATTACATTTTAGGAAGCTTGCTCTGCTGGCAGCCTTGCAGCAGAGGTTCAGAGGAAGGGAATGGAGGCTAGTGAGGCTGGTGAGCATTTTAATTAAGGCTCTATTACTGAAGACAAGTCAGACCTATGAGATGGGGAAGACTTGGATGAGAAGAATTACGGAATGAAATTTGAATTTGAATGAAAGTAGCCACTGATGAGTCTATGGTTTTTATTTAAAACATGAAATATAACACATGTAAGTCCTTTGAATTCTAGATGCAGTGGCATCTGCAAAAGCCTGGGTTCCACTTCTAAATCACATGTCAACCAGATTGATGTTAAATTTCAGTTATAATAATCTTATAAAAGTATTCTGATGAATTTAATGGTGCAAGTGTCTTTAAAAGATACACTACAATATATACACTTAAGCATCGTTATATGCTTTTGTTTTTATTTCAGAAGTACTTATTTTCAAGTAATAGGCTTCTGGGACCTTACTAAAGTTCATTAATCCTTTTGTTATTGATTCTATCAGCATCAATAACAAAATACATATTGTAACTGTAATTCTGATCATTTTGTATTATTTAAGTAGTAGTTGTCATTTTTTCTCTTACTTTATAAAATGTTACTGTTCACTTAATATGTAAAATAATATCTAAGAGACAAATAATTCTGTGATTATTGTATTGTTATTTTACAGTGAGAGGAGACATACAGAATTAGCCTGGATTTTAAAGTCAGGTTTTCTTAGATAAAGCTATCACATCTGCAGTCCCTGCATTTGAGAGGCAGAGGAAGAAAGATTGCAAATTTGAGGCCAGCATGGGCAAATAGTCCAAAAAAAAAGCAACTAACTGGGCGCCAGTGGCTCACACCTGCAATCCTAGCTACTTGGGAGGCTGAAATCAGGACCACCATGATTTGAGGCCAGCCTAGGGAAACAGTTCTCCAAGCCCCATCTCCAAAATAACCAGAATAAAATGGACTTGAGGTATGGCTCAAGTGATAGAACACTTGCTTTGCAAACTCAAAGTCTGAGTTCAAACTCCAGTCCAACTCCCCCAAAAACAGATTAGATAGGTAGATCAGCCTTTATTTCCCAACTTGAAGATCTCAGTAAACCTCTTGAAGGGGGTAAATGTGATGGAAATACTATGCACACATGTATGTAAATGGAAAAATGAGACCTGATGAAACTATTCCAGGAATGGGGGGAGGGGGTAAAGGGGAATGATAGAGTAGGTGAATTCAACTAGGATATATTCTAAGAACTTTTGTAAATGTCCCAATGTACCCCCTGCACAACAACAATAAAAAAATTAAATCTCTTATGCCAAAAAATAAAAAAAATTTCTTTCAAATATCATCTTATAGAGAACTCTTGAGTTCTCATACAAACTTCTCAAACATTGTAAGCATTTTCTTTTTTAAAATTTGGATCTATGGATCAAGTGAGGCTGACTTATACAAACTTAGTAATTATAATAATAATAGGCAAGGAAAGATGTAAATAGAGATAGGAAAAATACTTTGCGGGAGAAGAGAGTAGCAGAGCAGGATGTTTAGCATGGGATCTGCTCTCCCCTTCAACCCTATAAAGACCCTACAAGTTGATTAATAGAGTTAATGTTGGTATTTACTGAAGAATTTGGGATATCATAGATGGGGTTCATTCTGGAATGGTACACCCAGAGATCACAATAGAGGCAGAGATAACTTCCTTGTTGTTCTGTTGTACCTTACAAAATTACCATTTTTAATATGTTACCAAGTCTAATACCAGCAGTTTTGTATGGCTCAACCTAGTAGAAAAGGTAATGTACCAATGGCAATGTAATTTTGCTGTTTAGCTCTGTATAGGCAAAAGTCAAGAATATATAAGCCAAAATATATTTTCCCTTGGACATAAAAATTTGGGGAATATTTTATTAAGAGATTATAGCATAGGTAGGAGGATGGCATCCAAGGCTGGCCCCTGGCAAAAAAAGTGACCTAAAGCAAAAAGGGCTGGTGGTGTGGCTCAAGTGATAGAGTTCTTGCCTAGCAAGTAGCTAGGATTACAGGCCTGAATTGCCTACTTTTATCCAGTTATATATTTAAATACTTTTTCTGGCTCTCATTTCTCTCCTTTGAACTCCAATTATGTTTGTGGTGACCACTTGGTACTTTACTAGCTAACTAAATCATCATTCAGTTTCTGTCAGTACTATTTTCCTGTCTGAGTTTGATTTTGTATAGAAATTTCTGAGTCTTTAAGTATATCAATTATTCTGTTCTTTGCTATTAATTTCATTCAACATATTTTTCATTTCAGATATCATATTTTCTTCTCTAGAAATTCCATTTCGTTATTTTTAAATAACTTCCATTTCCTTCTGCATATGCTTGTTTGACCATATAGAAAATTGTGGAACCCTATACACAGTATCATGTGTTAGAAGGCAGCAAATAACAAATAAATGCAAGTGACTCAAGAGTAAAGATTAGAGAAGTGGATCAAGGAATTCATCAGTTTGAGGATTAGAATAGGGAAAATTGAATTAATCATCCTAAAAAGTCTAAGTAGACGTCATAGTGGTTTTTTGTTTTTGTTTTTGTTTTGGCAGTACTGGGGTTTGCCTCATGCTTGCTAGGCAGGCACTCTACCACTTGAGCCACCCCACCAGCCTATAATAGTGTTAATTTTGACAAAATCTTAGTTTTCATTATGCTAAAGTGAACTAAGTGTTGCAGGTTTCTTTTGAATAGCTGGGTAGATTTGTGGAATCTTGGTTACTACCAACTATATTTTGTCCTGCCAGCTGTCCACATGCCATCCTGAGATGCAAGAACCGATGCTTTTCATCTAATACTAAATCACGTTTGCCATAGGTGGAAGTCCTTTTAGACATTTTACCGTCCTACTATTGTTTTCCTGGCTTTGTGTGCCATTGGTAATGTGTTCCATACACATTGCAGGTCCCCCTGCTACCCTCTATGATGTTTTCAGTGCTATGGAGAAGCCATTAAAGATGCAGTGATTAACCTAACATCCTGGGTTGCATTGCTGTTGTGGCATGTACCAAATACGACAGTACTCAGCAATATTTCCTTGCATTGTCCTTAACAAATATTTGCCCAAGAGTGGGCAGAAGTGGAAGGGGAAGGAAGAAATGTTTTTCTATTGTAGAGGAAACTTGTAATGTAGGACTTATTTAAAGAGTATTTATAGTCCATTGTTGGTTATAGGGTGTGTCATACTCCTGTATCCAGTTTGACTATCTGATCTAGTTAAGAAACCACTGAAGTTTGAAGTATATTTGATGGTTTCACTTATTTATACTGAAACTTAATAATTGGAATATGCTATTCCATAGGAAGATTATTTTAGC